TAAAAAGGTCAATTGAAAACATAAACACATGATTTTTAGTCAGTTGACCCCATTAACCGGTAACTTCTCCGTTATTGCCCTATGGCGCGCCACATAAGCGTTGGAGTGGGTACTTGGCTGCCACATAAGCCTAAATAAAAAAAATTAAATTAAAGAAATAAAAATTAAAATCACGATTTGCGTTTCTTCCTCTGCGTCTTCATCTTCATCATCTTCACTGCGTTTTCTTATTTCTTCTTCTTCTTCTTCTTCTTCAATATCTATATCAACTACTCTTCGTTTTCCCCATTCATTATTTAATCATCTGAATCTCTGATATGACTTGTCTTGTTCATATCCACACTCCAATGACTCCATAGATCCTCTACTATTGTATGGTTTTTAGTTGTATTATAAACAAGAAGTACAAGCTTAACAAAAATGGAGATGGAAGTGAAATAATCAGTATAGCATAGATTATAATAATGCACCACACTTTCACACACACAGACCTAAAATATTCTGCAAATTAAAAAGAGAGTCATTCTCAACAAAACAAGGAATACTAATATGCCTGACACTAGTCCTGGCCTTCATCTTCTCATTGTCAACGATATCTATGGTTCTCTTATCTGGTTTGAGAAACTTAGCAGAGATCTAACCAAATAAAGACAGGTTTTGTTCAGAGATTCAGATGATTAAATAATGAATGGGGAAAATGAAGAGTTGATATAGATATTGAATAAGAAGAAGAAGAAATAAGAAGACACAATGAAGATGAAGAAGACGCAGAGGAAGAAGACGCAAATCATGATTTTAATTTTAATTTCTTTAATTAATTTATTTTTTATTTAGGCTTATGTGGCAGCCAAGTACCCACTCCAACGCTTATGTGGCGCGCCATGGGGGCAATTACCGGCTAATGGGGTCAACTGACTAAAAATCATATGTTCAATTGACCTTTTTGAAAGTTCATGGGGCTAATTGACGTTTCACGAAATGTTTAGGGGCCTATTTGATATTTTTTATCATAATAATAATAAAAAAAAGACCGATGATTGCCTTCTTCTTCAATGACAATGGCGATTGGCAACGGTCACTACAACCCTAATAACCGATTATTACAAGTGAATAATCAACTATTGGATTTAGATGCACTTAAATACACAAGTTCAAGTTTATAAAGTCCAGTAGCTTAATTGTTCTTTAGTATGAAGTTCAATGAGTCTATTTGACTAACTTTTTCTAAATAAGCAGATTGATAAACAATGGAAAGTTTGACAAATGGTTGTTAGTTGATAGTTGGTAGCGGATTGAGTTAACTGGTTGTAAAAATGTGTTTGATAAATTAAATATTTACTTTTAGTTGATTACAAGTAAAATAACGTATAAGAATATTCATAATAATGACATTAAACAATGTGGGGCAGTTGGATGGAGTGCTCTCAAATTAGATATGACTAAGGCCTATGATCGTATGGAGTGTCCTTTTTTTACGTGGTATGCTTTTAGCACTGCGTTTTGCTGACAGATGGGTAGAACTTATTATGCTATGTGTGTCTACCGTATCATATAATTTTCTGGTTAATGACTCCCGCAGTGAATCAGTCACGCCCACTCGTGGTTTAAGAGATGGAGACCCATTATCCCCCTATCTCTTTATTATCTGTGCCGAAGGCCTCTCTCTGTTGCTGCAAAGGCACAAAATAGGGGATCATGGATGCAGGGTTGCTAGAAGTTCTCCCCCTATTTCTCATTTTTTTGCTGATGATAGTCTGTTATTTTTCAAAACTAATATGCAAGAGGCCACTGAGATTAAGCATTGTTTATCAGTATATGAGAACTTATCTGGACAGGTGGTCAATTATCATAAATCCAGTATATGTTACAGTAAAAATACTGTTGAGGGGGAAGTGACGCAAATTTTGGGGGTAACTCAGGCTCCTAATTTTGGAAAATATCTTGGTTTACCCTCCTTTGTAGGAAGAAATAAAAAAGCAGCCTTGGCCTATATTGAAGATAAGATCAGACAGAGAATTGAGTCTTGGAATAAAAAGTTGTTATCACAAGTAGGTAAAGAAATCTTATTGAAAAGTGTCGCTCAGGCTATGCCTACTTTCTCAATCAGTGTTTTTTTAGTACCTATATCTGTGTGCACTGCCATTGAGCGACTCACAAATTGATATTGGTGGGGATCAAGGATTGACAGATAAGTTATGTATCCCTAAAAAATATGGTGGCCTGGGTTTCAAAGAGCTGATGGCATTTAATGTGGCATTGTTGGGTAAGCAGGCATGGGGATTACTTACTAATACTGACTCATTGGTGTCTCGTGTATAAAAGCTAGGTACTATCTTAATGACTCCTTTTCTGAAGCATGTTTAGGAAATAAACATAGCTATTGTTGACAGAGTATTATGGTAGCTAAGGGCCTAATTTGTAGTGGAGTGATACGGTGTATTGAGACTGGAAATTCTACCTTAATCTGGGGACACCCTGGCTCCAGGATGACCAGGATCCTATGATCCAGACAGAGATGCCACCCCAGTTGGCCAATGCTAAAATGGTAGGTTTAATTGACCAGACTTCATGTACATGGGACCATCATTTGCTCACTGATATTTTCCAACCAAGCGATGTGCCTAGAATCTTGAAAATACTGATTTCCCCGGATTATGATGATATGAGGTACTGGCATGGGGACCCCAAAGGATGCTACTCTGTTAAGAATGGCTACAAGCTCATTGTTGGAAACTATGAAAATAATGATGATGGTGTATTCAGTAAATGGCTCACTCTATGGAAGCTTAAAATTCCACCCAAATGGAAAACCTTTCTATGAAGAGCTATAAGTGATTTCCTTCTCACTACTAACAATTTGCTTATAAAGAGGGTAGAGGTTGATTGTGTGCCATGTGTGAGATCATCAATGAGGACACTATGCACTCATTGGTATTGTGTGGTTATGCAAGTTCCATATGAGCTCTATCCAACCTTCCACTCCCAACTATTGTGACAAATAATTTTCATGAATGGTTTAGTGAAGTCTTAAATGTTCTAGACACTGATGGAATTATCTACACAGCTGCAACCTTATATCATATATGAAGAGCACGAAATGGAGCCGTTTGGGATGCATGCCTACCACTTCCAAGGAAATTTCTTGCGATGGCTGGAGCCACCATGCGTGCATGGCGGCAAGTCCACGACAAAACAGCTGCCCAAACGCCAGCCGAAGGAACCGCCGGTGCCGTCACTGCCCAACCAGCGTTGCCAGCACCACTGTTGCCGCCCAGTGCTGCCCACGCTGCCTAGCCGACGCACTCAGCTCCACCGGTGCCGACCGGTGCTGCCCACACTGCCCAACCGGCGAATCTATCATCATTGCTGCCCGGTGTGCCCCATGGTCCTACACCACGACCGAAAAAGTGCTATGTCGACGCGGGATACCACCATGCAGCAAACTCGGCTACGGTCGGAGCATTACTCATGGATGCAGACGGTGGATATATTTCAGCCTATAGCGCTCCCCTACCAAACTGTTTCTCCCCACTTATGGCCGAGGCGTATGCGTGCAAGGAAGCCCTGTCATGGCTACGAGCACGTGAAGAACAGTCTATTGAGCTTTATACAGATTGTCAGATTCTTCAGAGCTATCTATCCTCAGCAGGTGCACCACCCAGTTCGTATATTGGTTACGCTATTGACGGATGCAGAGTGCATATCTACTTTTACTTCCTGTTTAGTTAATTTTATTCCCAGATCGCAGAATTATTTAGCGCACACATTAGCTTCTACAACATTTGATTATGATACAGCTATGTATTGGGACGGTGTCCCACCTAACTCTACTTCAGTCTATCTATAAATACAACCGCATTTGTTGACCTTAAAAAACAACAACAATTGCATCTTATTTTTATTAATTTTTGTTTTATTATTACATAATAATAACAATGATAACAACAACAATAATAAAACTAAAGAAAATAAAAACAATAAATAAAGATAAAAGGGGAGTCACATCGGAAGCTTACATAATGACTGGTCCATTAAGCTCTTCTATACGAGGAAATCAATGTCCCTTTTCAAGCTAATGTTCGAAATTTTATCGAATGAGGTACAAAGCCTTTCTTTAAGCTGATGTGGGATCATTTTTAATCCCACATCAAAATCTTATCATTTTTAAGAGTGTTAAGTTCCTCATAAGAGGAGCTTAGTGCCCCCTTTTATATGTTGCCCATTATATCCACATTGTATGGACAATTGAAATTGGCATTGGGCTCTATTCTTACCAAAATAGTTTTTTTTTTTTTTTTTTTTTTTTTTTTTTTTTTTTTTAAATTTAATTAATTAATTAATTTATTTTATGGGCTTAGCTCACCAGTTTAATAGACAGTATTTAGGGGAAGGTTTGAATCTCGACAGCGTATTTAGGGGAAAGTTTGAATCTCGACAGCGTAATGGGAACGTGGGAATTATTAGCGTAGTGGGAACGTGAGAATTATTATATGGCATCCTCGACAGAAGGAGTGGGGATTAAAGTGGACAGATCCTCGACAGAGGGAGTGGGGATTAAAGTGAACAGATTCCGCATTGACATTTGACTGAACTTGATTATGTCCATTATGTCAAAAATAGGCGTGGACAGGTCACTTGTGTCAGTTGTGTACACTGGTATTGATCTCACTAAATACCATTGACTTCACCTTGATTTATATTATCTTAAATACTTTGTTGGGCTGGAATGTGGAAATTCTTGAAATTAAAGATTCAACATTTTGGGAGAAAAAATAAAATAGTTTTCTTAACAAAGGAGAAACATTTTGAGGAAAGAAATTTCATTTTTCAAAATGTCATCCCGATAAGCTGTGATCCGGACAAAATTATTATTTTTATTTAAGTTTGTAATTTAAACTTATGCACTAAGTTGTCAATTAATTTTGGTCGATTGACGTTTTTAATAGTTTTAAGGTTTATTTACGCGTGTACGTATTAGTGCATATTATTTTAATATTTCGTCCGCAAAATCTAATCGTCTTCTTCAAGAAAATTCTGCCAAACCTGTCGGATTAAACCCGAATTCAAACCCTAACCAAACCCAGACATCCATCTTTCACAAACAATCCCTCTCTCTCTCTTCCTGGGATCATCATCCAATCATCTATACTCAGTAATCGTCTTGCGCACTTGTGATTCATCATCATCATCATCCATGTCTGCTCTTCCCTATTCACACTCCCTCACTTTCTGTGGAGTCCTATCTGAATCGAAGCGCATAATCAACGCCCACTCCCGCCATTTCTTAGCGCTCTCTGTTTTCTTTCTCTTGCCCTTATCCTTCTCGCTGATCATCTTCCCTACTCTCCACGCCGCGTTCTCTCACCCAAACCCTATCATCTTCTACACCAGCAGGTTTATCCGGTTCGACCCGACCCTGCCGGATGATGATGATGATGAGGGGGATTTGAAATTCTTCGTGTTTCATCTCGTGTATGGTCTGTTTGTGTTCCTGGCTAGCCTGTTTGGGGTGTCCACGATCTCCTACAGCACCTTCCATGGGTTCTATGGCAGACCCGTGAAGCTGGTTTCGTCTTTCAAGTCGGTATTGTACTCTTTCTTGCCCATGGTTGCGACTGTGGTAGTCGCAAAAGTCCTCCTTTGTTTAATTGCTATGGCTTTCGGGCTCTCTGCGGGCCTATTGTTGAAAGGGCTTGATATGGTGGGAGTTGAGGTGGATTACGACTCGGTTTACTTCATGGTTCTGGCGATTATCTTTGCGGTGGTGGTCGGGCTTGTGATGCTGTGGGTGCAGGTTAACTGGGTGTTGGCGCCCGTGGTTGTGGTGGTTGAGTCGAGATGGGGGTATGGGCCCTTGAGGAGAAGTGCTGAATTGGTGAAGGGGATGAGAGGGGTAGCATTGTCAATATTGCTGTTTTTCAGCCTTTTGATTGGCTGCCTGGTGGGCGGTTGCTCCACCTTCTTGCTCCATGTAGGCGTGGCTGGTGGGTGGTGGAGCTGGGCAGTCATATTGCAGATGGTGATCAGCTCGGGTTTCGCGACTGTACTGTTGCTTCAGAGCGTTGCTGCGGGTGTGGTGCTGTATATGTACTGCAAGGCATTGCACGGGGAGCTTGCATTCGAGATTGCAGAGGAGTTTGCACAGGACTATGTGAGCTTGCCTTTTGACAAGGAGAAGGTTCCTCATGTTGTTTATGTTGTCTGAGGTTAACGAGAGCACCCCCGAGGTTAGTATGTTTTCCGTAAAAGTGTCAAGTTTGCATTGTAGTTTTCATAATGGACATAGCCTGCTTAGTCTTCTCAAGATTTGCCAGTTTTTATGTATGTATATTTAGTCTTATGTGAAAGATATATTGAAATGCAGTATTTGTATAATTGTATAAACTCTTTGCAATGATACCTATGCTCGACCACTGGCCTCGGGCTGCTGTCTGTTATATATATATAGTTAAAAGTCTTGTGTTTTCTGTAATGACATTTATCAATGCATTAGGAACATTTCTATTCAAATGGCTTGCTTAGTCTTCTAAAGATTTGCAAGTTTTTATGTATGTATATTTAGTCTTATGTGAAAGATATATTGAAATGCAGTATTTGTATAAACTCTTTGCAAATGATACCATGGCCTCCGGCTGCTGTCTGTTTTATTACTTTTATATATAGTTAAGTCTTGTGTTTTCATCTAATGATGTATAGAATGTGCGATGATAATCAATGCATTAGGAACATCTCTATTCAAATGGCTTGCTTAGTCTTCTAAAGATTTGCAAGTTTTTATGAATGTATATTTAGTCATGTGAAAGATATATTGAAATGTAGTACTCCGTATTTGTATAAACTCTTGGCAATGATAATACCTATCCTCCACTACTGGCCTCGGGCTGCTCCTGTATTATATATAGTTACCTCTTGTGTTTTCCTCTAATGACATATAAAATGTGTGATGTTTATCAATGCATTAGGAACATCTCTGTTCAAATGGCTTGGCCAAATTGTGTATTTGTGTTTTTTCTGACAAAGAATGCCTACTTTCGGTTTATCACCCTCTTCTTGAGGGATATAGAAATGTGTTTTTCTAGTGCCACACTGCCACCTTCTTTTAACATGAATCACAAAACACAATATAAGGCGCACTGGACTACATTGATTTGAATTTATAGGTTATGAAAGCTGGATTAATTGCATCACCTTATCATGAATTGTTGTGATTTTGTTCTAAAATTGCTGTCAAATAATTGGCGTTATTGGGATGAGAAGGATGCACTATGTAAATCCTGACCAAGAGGGTGTTGGTAAGAATTGAATTTGTAACATTTAGATATGTGGTTCATGCTCCATCCACCTGGCTATCTTTTTGGGATGCCATGGGTGATATATTTGATAGTGTGCAATAATACGTTCTAGGAGTGAATTTGAGTAGTGTGCAATAATACTTTCTAGGAGTAATGTATAACTGACTTTGGTGATTTGTTATACCATTGTTTTCTGTGGAAGGCTGTCTATCAGTCTATGTGGAACTTTAAGAATGAGGATGGATGCAGTCAAATACTCAAATATCATGAATTTAGATTTCTTGGGTGTAAAGAGGCAAAATATTGGGCTTTCACACCTCGGGTGATTTTTCATGGCGGGAGGACTTTATAATGTTAGAATACACCCTAAAATCTACATCTATCTACAAATCTAATAAGAGCCAATAATGTTAGGTCCTTAACTGGAATAAAAAAATGTCGGTAGTAGTTGTTTCTTAAAATGAATGACTTATATTATTTTGATTTTAGTATTTTTTTAATGATTTTCCTTATTTATCCTCCATTATATTATTTCCTAATCTTAAATAACCCTAACAGGGCGTTTGGTTGGAGGGGGGGAATTATGTTGGAAATGAATTGTAATTCCATGGGAGTTGAATTACTGGGAATAAAGTGGGAATTTAAATTCCAGTGTTTGGTTGACAGGAATAGAATTACTGGGAATTTCAATTCTAATGTTTGGTATACATGGGAATTGAAAGGGAATAAGTAGTATAAAGTCAAAAATGCCCATTATTGTAGTTAGACATTAATTTTAAGTTAAAAAAGGAAGGGGTAATGTTGACTCATCACTATCTTTTTTTCCCAGGAATTAAAATACCAGGGGGGACATGAGATTTTAATTCCATGAAAATGGGGGAATTGCAATTCCCTCCAACCAAACTACGGAATTTAATGACCTTTGGAATTAGGTGAGAATTAAGTGGGAAGGGAATTTAAAATCCCTCTAACCAAACACCCTGTAAATTCCGTTAGTATAAACTTTAGTAACGGAATATTCCGTTAACTATTTATTATTCTTAACATACTCATTAATTTATATAAGAAAGGTCTTAGGTTCAAATCCCATCTAAATTAAAGTTGGCATAATTGTTAAACATATATTATGAATATGTTAAAATGTTTTAAAAAATATATAATATAAAATTTAGCATAAACTTTGATCAAATAATTAGCCCGACAAAATACATAGCATTCAAAGTTGAGCATCAAAGATTATAAATTAGGAACTTTAAAAATTATTTGATTTTCTTGATTTTTTTTTTCAAAAAAAAAAAAAAAAAAAAACAAAAACAAATTTAGGTTAATTTTTTTTTTTCCGGTTAATTAATCTTCTTTTAATTATTTAGAACAAAACGTAATATTTCAATTATGCTTTTGCATTATTAGAATGATTTAGGTCATTATGGTATTAATATTTTTTTAATTTTTTTTATAATGGTACAATTGTACATTACTTTACAAATATTATACTATTATTTTTATATCGGACAACATTGTTCTTACATCATTGTCAGACCTGCGCGGCCTAACTACAAAGTCGTTGATTATAAATACAATTACACATGACCTTTAAAACGGTAGGATTATTTTTCAAATAATTGACAATGTTAACATCCTACTAGCTCCAATTGAACAAGTTTACACATCAGAATTTTTTCAATTCATGAAAATTTCTAAAGAAATTTGTAAGTTAATTTTTACTATATCATTATAACAGTATCTATTGTAATTATATATTTTGAATTATTTATTATAATCTTCTATTGACAATAATTGTAGCAATTGTCTCAACAACGAAATCAACAAGGACATGACACACTACTAATAAAAAATAAAATAAAAAAAGAAAGGACATATACTGAAGATGAAAACAACGGCAATGCTACCCAAGAAAGAATTAAGAAGAATTAGAGAAATTTAAACCAAAATTAATATTTATTTGGACTATCGATTTAAGACTAAGTATTTAGACTATCGTTATTACAAAATTGCAAACATTTATTTTAGTGACAATTATAATTAACTCTCATATATTATCTTAAATTTATATACTTTAAATTACCGATTTAAATAAACAAATTCAACATTTATTTACCTATGCATAAACATCTCTTATATAATATTGCATTGATATACTTATTTAAAAATAATCATTGACATTATTCCATTCACGCAAAGCGCGTAAAAGAACTAATCTTATATAAAGGTGGAATCGAGCCGAGTTCGACAAAGTTTGAATCCCAACTACATCAAGACATTTTAATAGCTATGCTAATTGATCCACATGATGAAAATAACAAATCTTGATTTGCGATTTCAGGGAGTATAAATGATGGAGTAGAAGTTTGGGAGTCTATGTAATAGAACTCAATAACAAATCTTGATTTACCACTTCAGAAAGTATAAACAAGAGAGTAGAATTTTAGGAGTCTATGTAGTAGAACTCATTTATTAAACAAGAAAAAGCTGAGCACTGTGGTAAATAAAATACGGAGTATAAAGTTGCTATTTTTTACTTTTTAATATTCACTTACATTTATAAAAATAATTCAATCAAGAAGAAAATTTAAAAGAACAACATAGTGAAACTAAAACAAAAATCACAAATATACATTACAAAAGGTATTGCTATTTGCACCACACTTTGACTAAAAGTAGGTATAAAGTTTAAGAAACATGTACCGATATATCTTAAGTAAGGGTAGTTAATATACAATTATCCATGAAATGTTATTTAGATCTTGCTCGTATTTGTGGAAAATAATCAAATAGACAAGAAATATTGTACGAGATTTATTGTAAGATAGGTTGAGGGAAAAAATAATTAAATAGATGGAATGTCGGTATAGAAACATGTACCGATATATCTTAAGTAAGGGTAGTTAATATACAATTATCCATGAAATGTTATTTAGATCTTGCTCGTATTTGTGGAAAACAATCAAATAGACAAGAAATATTGTACGAGATTTATTGTAAGATAGGTTGAGGGAAAAAATAATTAAATAGATGGAGTTTCGTCTCTTTTATTTGAATAGATTTAATTTTTATGTACAAACAGTTAGCCGGACCTTGTTGGCAAATTATGCTGTGCATCCGTATGCACCATGCATGGTGCATACGGATGGAAAAACGACGTCGTTTTGACTAAAAACGCGCGTCCCATTTTAAAAAAAAAATTCAAGTTCGATTCCCGATAATAGCATTTTTTGGGTGCATAATTTGAATTATATATCCACAAATTCATAGCATTTTTTATTAAGATTGATGATAGGTTCGCGAATGCTCCTTGGAAAACGTTTTACCGAATTAGGGTTTCAATTTCTGTTTTGAAACCACTAAAACGGCGCATGAAGTTTATGAAGAGGGACAAGTCGACTTGTTGGGTAAATTTCAAGTACGAAAGGCTACACAATTTTTGTTATTTCTGTGGAATGATGGGGCACTTACACAAATACTGTTTGAAAGCACGAGATGCGGGTATACCGATTGATCAATACCCATATGGTGAGAATTTACGTGCTGGTTTTCGGAAGGGTCCACGCAAGGTGGGAGCTTCATGGCTCCTCGACAAGAATGGAAACCCCATGGCGGAATCCCCTTCGGGTGTTGCGCCAAGAACACCGAATGATGAGCATGCCAATGAGGTGTCGGAGACAACACTGGAAAGTAGGGAGAATGTGGTGATCACGGCTGCGAGTAAAAGACGGAGAGCCGAGTTGAATGCTGGAGGTGATGTGGTTATGACAGAGATCCAAAAAAACTTGTCCATGGCGGGTTCTGGTTCCCAGACCCGCCCGTCATCATGAGTACTATCAGCTGGAACTGTCGTGGCTTGGGCAATCCACGAACAGTTCGAGAGTTAACGGACCTTGCGTCCCGTAAGAAGCCTGATTTTATTTTTCTCATGGAAACCAAGGTGAAACGAATACATGCTGAAAGAATTCGTGTTAGCCTTGGCTTTGATGACCTTTTTTATGTTAATCCGACTCGCTTGGGTGGTGGTTTAGCACTGCTTTGGCGAAAAAACGATACCGCAAGACTTTTGAGTTACTCGAAGAATTATATTGATATTGAGGTGAATATGCCCAGTTTTCCGCAGTGGAGAATGACGTGTTACTATGGTTTCTCTCAGCGTCATAGACGATCATAAGCATGGGATTTACTCAAATCTTTTGCGCCCCGATCCAACCTACCATGGGTTATGATTGGGGATTTTAATGATCTCCTGTTCCAACACGAGAAGAGAGGGGGAAATCCGCATCCTAATAGTCTCCTTCGTGGCTTTGGGGAGACTATTGATCATTGTGGCTTGGCTCAGTTGCCCATGGAAGGATACCGATTTACATGGGAGAAGGGGAAAGGAACGCCTGCATGCATCGAGGAACGTTTGGATAAAGTGCTTGCGTCGAATGCTTGACGTGAGATTGTGCCTGGGGCTAGGGTTATTAATAACCTGATGAGAAAATCAGATCATTCGGCACTGTTTTTGAGCATACATGAAACGGTTCCGAATACGAGGGGAGGAAGAAGAGGTTTTCGTTTCGAAATGGCCTGGGTATATGATGAAGGGTGTAGGGGTGTGGTGGAAAGATCATGGGAAGAAGGAAGAAGTGAAGGAATCCAGGACTGTATAGCATACTGTGGAAATCAATTATCTAAATGGGGTGGTGACCGGTATCACAAGTTTGGGGAAAAGATTATGCTTTTACGAAAACAACAGTTACATCTCAGAGGTCGCACTGACCCAACATCTTTAGCTGAGTTTCAGCGATTGGAAGAAACATTAAGCAATATGGAGATCCAGGAGGATACTTACTGGAGACAGAGAGCCAAGCAATACTGGCTAAAGAATGCTGATGCCAATACAAAATTCTATCACAGGTATGCCTCTCACCGTAAAAAGAAAAATACTATCTATAAGCTTATGAATGATAATGAGGATTGGATGGAAGGAGATAATATGAATACAATTATCTTGGAATACTTTAGCCAGATCTTCTCCTCAGGTGATCCTATAGATGGTAATGACCTATTTTCTGAGATATCCCCTCGTGTAACCCAAACTCATAATGATCAATTCTTACGGCCCTTTGTGATTACTGAGGTGAGGGATGCCCTGTTTGCGATGGCCCCGGACAAAGCCCCTGGACCAGATGGTATGAACCCAGGTTTCTACCAACATTTCTGGGATGTGGTTGGCAATGATATTTCGGCATTTATATTAAACTGTCTTAATAATCAGATTTTTCCAGCTGACCTGAATAATACTGATGTGGTTCTCATCCCAAAGAAGAAATCCCCTGAGGTGGTCGCGGATTTTAGGCCAATAGCTTTGAGCAATGTGATTTACAGTGGCTAAGATGATTACCCAGAGAATGAAGCCTCTAATGGAGAATATAATATCTAATTCGCAGAGTGCATTTATTCCAGACAGACTGATTACTAATAATATTCTTGTGGCTACAGAAGTGGGACATTACTTGAATAGAAAACAGTGTGGGGCTGTAGGATGGGGTGCTCTCAAACTTGATATGGCCAAAGCTTATGACCGTATGGAATGGCCTTTTCTCCGTGGGATGTTAATAACCCTGGGATTTAATGATAGATGGATTGATTTGATTATGTTATGTGTCACCACAGTGTCGTATAATTTTATGATCAATGGCTCCCGTAATACCCCCATCACGCCCACGCGTGGCCTACGCCAGGGAGATCCATTATCCCCATATCTGTTCATTATCTGTGCGGAAGGGCTCTCAGTTCTATTACAACGGGCACAGGATAAAGGATTAATACATGGTTGCAGGGTTGCTAGAGGTGCACCTCCTATCTCTCATTTATTCTTTGCGGATGATAGCTTACTGTTTTTCAGAGCAAATATGCAGGAAGCATCTGAGATAAAAAATTGCTTATTGTTATACGAGAGCTTATCTGGCCAGAAGGTAAACTATCATAAATCCAGTATATGTTACAGCAGGAATACGGGGCAATATGATAAGGACATGGAGGCACAGATCCTAGGTGTTACTCAAGCACCTAATTTTGGGAAATACCTAGGACTACCCTCTTTTGTGGGAAGGAATAAAAAGGCTGCATTTGCATATATTGAGGATAGGATCAGGCAAAGGATTGGTTCTTGGAATAAGAAATTATTATCTCAGGCAGGTAAGGAAATTTTGTTGAAAAGTGTGGCTCAGGCAATGCCAACTTTTTCAATGAGTGTTTTCTTATTACCCATATCTACTTGTACGGCTATTGAGCGGGCTATGAACCGATACTGGTGGGGGACAGGAACTGATAGAGGCATTCACTAGAAAGCCTGGGATAGATTATGTATCCCAAAGAAGCATGGTGGTCTGGGTTTTAAAGATTTAAGAGCTTTTAATTTGGCAATGTTAGGAAAGCAGGCATGGAGACTGCTCACTAACACTGACTCATTAGTAGCCAAAGTTTACAAGGTCAGATATTATCCAAGGGGTTCTTTCCTAGAGGCAACAATGGGGAATAATCCAAGTTTTTGCTGGCGCAGTATTATGGCAGCTAAAGACCTAGTATGTGGTGGAATAAGGAGACGAATTGGAAATGGAAAATCTACCTTAATATGGGAGCATCCTTGGTTGCAAGATGAACTGGATCCTATGATTCACACAGAAATGCCACAACAACTGTCTGGAACCAGAGTGGTTGGATTAATTGATCAGGATACAGAGACCTGGGATCCGCATATATTAGCTGATATTTTCCAGTCAAGTGATATACCTAGAATCCAAAAGATTCCAGTAGCCCCTGACTATGATGATATATGGTATTGGTATGATGATCCTAATGGAATTTATTCAGTTAAGAGTGGATACAGGCGCATAGTTGGTAATTATGTGAATAATTCTAATGGAATATTTGATGAATGGCTAGCCCTGTGGAAATTGAAAATACCACCCAAATGGAAGACATTCTTATGGAGAGCTATTTGTGATATTCTTCCCACTACCAACAACTTGCTTATAAAGAGGGTGGATGTTAACCCGATGTGTGCCATGTGTGGGAGAATGAATGAAGATACCATGCATGCATTAGTTTTGTGTGACTATGCACACTCCATATGGGCTCAATCCAACTTTCCAATCCCCAATATTATCACAAATATTTTCCATGAATGGTTTAGTGCAATCTTGAATGTTCTAGACTTTAATGGAATTATTTATGCAGCTGCAATTTTATACCACATATGGAGGACCCGAAACGGAGCGGTCTGGGATGCCTGTTTGCTGAGACCAACGAAAGTGCTAACAATTGCGATGGCAACGATGAAAGCATGGAAAGAATTCCACCATCGTGCACCGTCACGGCTGGCCGCTCAACCCGCCACTGCCGCCTCACCGAACACCACTGCCGAACCACCTCCTCCGGGCGACGACACTGCCGACATCGATCTACCTCCGCCACACGCATATCCTCCGGGCGACGACACTGCCAACGTCGAACTGCCTCCACCACACGCATATCAGCCGGAACTTCCACATGGGGCGGGAGTAAGGCCTGTGAAGTGTTATGTAGATGCAAGCTACAATCATGGAACGAACGCAGCAACAATTGGCGCGGTGCTCTTCGACGCCGATGGCAATTATATGTCCGCTTTCAGTGCCCCCTACTGAATTGCCTCTCCCCACTTATGGCTGAGGCATTTGCATGCAAGGAAGCGTTATCATGGCTTAAAAGACGAGATGAACAGTCTATACAAATTCACACGGATTGTCAACTGCTACAGAATTATCTATCTGGACCACCAACCGCATCACGCTCATATCTAGGTTATGCCATCGATAGTTGCAGAACCTACATATCTACCTTTACTTTCTGCTCAGTTATTTACATTCCTAGATCGCAGAATTTACTAGCTCATTCCTTAGCTACTACAGCATTAAATTTCACTACTGCTATATACTGGGACAATGTCCCACCAGACACTATATCAGCTTATCTATAAATACAACCGCCAGGTTGACCTTCAAAAAAAAAAAAAAATCCACAAATACATAACTATATATCCACAAATTCATAACTATATATTCAAACTATATATCCACAATAATTCTGTTGGGGAATCGAAAACTGTTTTTTTTTTTAAAATGGGACGTTCGTTTTTAGTCAAAACGACGTCGTTTAGCAATCGTGTGCACCATGCATGGGGCACACGGTTGCACAGCATAACTATTGGACCTTGTTAAAGAAAAAAAGATTTGAAATAATTTTTTTGACAATATGAAGTGGAAACACATGCGGTATCTGTTGTTAGGGCAATGTTTATCGATTATATCAATTGGATTATTACGACTGAAATTACAAATCAAATGAGACAGGTGGGAGGTTATTTTTTGAGTGAGACAGAGTGTAAATATTTGAATATTTTGATCGATCTTAATGACAAAATATTGACGGCAAAAATTTTGTGACAAACGACGACTACAAATGATTGACAAAATAACGGCTGGATTACAAATGTTGCGACTATGTTTTTTTTTTTTTTTTTTTTTTTTTCATTGTGGAGGGACATGTAATAAAAAAAAAATCAATGTCAATGAACAAATAGTTAACACTTTTGAGTTGGTTCACTTGGTTGCTGAAGCAAAAAACACCCGCTCAGCATGGGCATGTTACAACACACCATTTTTTTGTTCTTCTCAAAAAAGCCATCTTGTAGGAAGAAAAACATGGAACACAATTCTACCTCCACTAAGAAGCGGGATAGATATAACACTCAACCGCACAAGATCGTGCAGGTAAGGCAGATATAACTCTAACAGACAAAACCTCAAACAACCGCATATGAGTTTTCCTCTCTCTCTCTCTTTTTTTTTTTGATCAGCAAAAGTCTCATCGCTAAAAAGCGGGATAGATGAAACCGGTCCTGCGTTTCATTTATATACGACGTTAGTTTTTTGGAATAATCGATGTATTATTGTTATTATTATTATTATTATTATTATTATTATTATTATTATTATTATTATTATTATTATTATTATTATTATTATTATTAAAAAAGTAACAACAACTGGTACAAGTCTAATTTAATTAACTTTACATGTTTAAATTAAACATGTCAACATTTAAATTAATTGATAATTCAAAAAATTTAATTATTATAATATGTTATTAAAAGTTTTTATTAATAAAATATTACACTATTGCATAACATATAAAAAATTAGAGTAAAAGACATTTTTGGTCCTAAACTTATAGTGACACGGATAATTTTGGTCCTCCATAAAAAAATTGACCAATTTATGTACACACTTATTATGACGGGGACAATTTTAGTCCCCAGTCTGTTATCTAGTTAGTTGACCGTCTAAATGAGGTACGTTTTTGTCAATTCAGCAAAAGTCAATATGATTTTCTCTCCCAATTGATCGAGTTTCTTTTGTTTGGGAGGGGGGGGGGGGTAACTTCCGAATTTTTGTTCCATTTTATGTTTTACTTTCACTGTTTCCTTCGATTTCTAGTTAGTCTCGTTAGGTTATAGTGTCTAGTGAAGTCTCCTCTAGCCCTGCCGCATGGGACCGCCTTGGCAACTGCCTAGGGTCACGGCCCTTGCCTAGGGCCGTTCATGCCACGGCTCTAGCCAACGACTCCCCTTGTGGGCCGTTGGCTAGGCCTGCCACTTCCACTGGTGCACCAGTGGCTTCTTCTTCATCTGTAAAACATTTCCAGACCAAAATTCCACTTCCAAATCATCACCAACACATTATACAACAGCAACAAGTCATCTAATAGCTCAAACACATAATAATCAAGCATTTCTACTTATTTCTAACAATATAACAGTGGCTTCACAGAGCCAAAAGAGATTGAGAATCCATGGGGTTATACCTTTGTTGCCTCTTCTTCTTGTTATTCTTCCTTGTGTGAATCTCAGCATCCACTCTTCTCATACACCACTCCATCATCACCTAGACACCTCAAACAACATCATAAGCCAAGCCTAAACAAACCTCAGAGATTGAAAGCTAAGAGAGAAGGGGACCTTAGTATGGAAAATGAATGGAGGAGATGAATGCTAATACTTACAAGGAAGAGATCAGGAGAACACGATGAAGCTAAAGCGGCATCTTATAGGGTCCAAAACCCTAGGAGAAGTGCTCATGATTAGAGGAGGGCAAAAGGGTAATTTGGCTGAGTTCTACAAAATATCAGGCAAACTTGTGGTCTATCTTACAACATGGACCAAAGTCTAGGAATGGGATTTTAAATAGTTTGGGGGTCAAAATAGATTTTTCCAAAGATGATTTCTAAACAAACACTTGGTTCAGATTTCTCCCGGTCTCACTCAGATTGGTTTCTTAGTTTAAAACTTGCTACGTGAAGTACCAAAAAATTTAGGATTTTGGAATTAAAATAAATTTTGGTGTTGAATTAATTTAAAATGTACTCAAAATAATTTATTCAAATACCAATTTATCGCAAAATTTTTTAATGGAGTGAAAATGGCTACTTTGGAATTTCTAAAAAATTGGATTTATAAAATTAAATTTTGGGTTGTCACAGCAAAGTCCTAAACACAAGTCCTAGGCTAGACTCAACACCCGATCATGCACAATCCCTCCCAAATATACCAAGAACATCATAATACGAAACTCACGATATAAACCCTAGGGCTCTAGACATAATCAAAATACGAGATCATACATATAGTCAATCACAACATTAAGATCATCAAGATTATCACATAAACACCATATAAATCCTAGGCAAAGCTCTATCAAGACTCAATCACAGAATCACACATCAAAGGAGCCAATAAATAAGATATAGCAAGGAAAATATGTTTTGTAAGACATGGGTTACCTGGAAGTTTTAATTAAAAGGGAAAAGTGTCAAATTGGCCCCCTAAGTCGACCGCATAGTGCAATTGGATCCCCTAACTAAAAAAAGCTTCATAGAGATCCCCTAAACCTGTAAAATTGTTCAATTAAGTCCAAAGTGACTTGTTTAACAGGTTAAGTCTTCACATTGTTGACACGTGTTATTTAAAAAATATAATTTTTTTGTTTTTAAATTTTATTTATTTATTAAAATATATGTTATATATAAAAATAATTTTTTTTAACAAAAATAAAGTACAAAGCTATGTTTATTTTTATTTTTATTTATTTATTTATTTATTTTTATTAAAAACGCACAAAGCTGTTTAGGTGGCTGTGTTTTTTTATTTTATTTTATGACATAAGATCAGTTTGGGTTACATACATTATTGAAATTGCATGAATGTCAGAAAGTGAAACATGTGTATTCTGTAAACTTGTATCTGTACAGAAAGGTATAGCTTGGTTAGGAGCAGGAAGGTGTTTCTCGGGGTCCGATTCTCAGCTCAAGTCGCAACCCGGAACCAAACCACATTCTTTGCCGGTACAGGTATAGAGGTATGTCGCCGATAAACCAGAGCCGTCGATCTCTCTCCCGGGATCTGAGAATTGATAGTCGTGTACCTGACGAGCCTCCGCGTGGTCCGTCGGATATATACAATAAAATAAAATAAAAGAACACAGCCAACTAAACAACTTTGTGCGTTTTCAAAAAAAAAAAAAAAAACAGCTTTGTATTTTTTGTTGTTGTTGTTTTTTTTTTTTTAAATATTTTTTATATATAATACTAGTTTTTTACGCGCATTGCGCGATTGAGATAATGCCCAATATTTTTCTTTTAAATAAGTACTTTAAAATATATCAATGCAAGATTATATTGAAATTGTTCATGCATAGATAATTGAATGTTAAATTTGCGTATCTAAATAGGCAATTCTAAGTTTACAAATGCAAGATAATATAGTCAAGATTGATTATAATTGTCAATAAAATAATTGTATAGGTATGGTTGAAACCAAATACGGGACAAAAGCGGGAGCAAATAAAAATTAGGGCATAAAATATTAAATATATACTAATATTGAAGAGCTAACTGCTGATTTTCAAACAAGAACATTGCGAGATAGTTTCCTACTTCAATTTGTTGTGTGATTTGAATACTCTTTTTGTCAATAAATCCCCCAAGTAGTTAATATGATTGGCTTAATTATATATATATATATATATATATATATATATATATATATATATATATATATATATATTCTAAAACAATTATTATTATTATATATATATATATATATATATATATATATATATATATATATATTCTAAAACAATTATTATTATTATTATTATTGTTATTATAATAATAATAATAATAATAATAATAATAATAATTATTATTATTATTATTATTATTATTATTATTATTATTATTATTATGTATACCCTTAGGTCATTTTACATGTTAATCTAAACAGTTAATTTTTTCAAATATCTTTTTACCAATCGTTGATGTAATTCACTGGTCAAATTCGCTCATATAATCCGCTAACGCTAACCGCTAACTGCTGATTTTCAAACAATGACATTGCGAGGTAATTCTCACTTCAATTTGTTATGTGATTTGAATACTCTTTTTGTCAACAAATCCCTAAGTAGTTAATATGATTGGCTTTATTAATTATATATATTTTTTAATTTTTTCATGGTATTAATAAAATACTTGGTAAATAAATATATAGCATTATTTTGTATTATAAATTTGATATTTAATTAAAAATAGT